TATTCATTTAATAATTGTCACTATTTTAATAGAAATTATAAATTTAATACCCTTAGATACACTTAAGTAGTATGACTCATTAGTATCCTATACGTATATTTTTAAATTCATTGAAACGCAAATCCTTAAATATCTCGATTTGAAGATAAATGGAGTTAGGCGACTTTAATATAATATCAATTATTTCATTTTTTTTTTTTTTTTTTTTCTATTACAATTGTCAACTATAGTTTTATTCGTCATCGTTAAAAATCGCTAAATGTCTTATCTCCTTTTTCAGTTTTGATAATGAACAATATGAGTAATGTGGAGAAATCTATTCGTGGATTTGTTTGTAAATGAAATATCGGATTATATATTTGCTTCGTAAAAAGATTTTATAATACGTTTATATATACTATGATCGTCATTAATCGTCTTTTATGATAAATCGATATCTTTATTAATAATTAATATTAACATCATTTTCATTCGCTATGATATTATTTAATTTGTAATAAATAATAAAAGAAGAAAATATATATTTGTATAGTGTTATACAAATAAATGTTTAATTATTAATTTTTTTATTTTTCAAATACTAATTACATGTAAATATCTTTTCTTTTTTTTTTTTTATTTTTTTTTTTTTGTACTCTTTATCTATTAAAAAGATTTTAACATTACATTTGAAATTTTTAATAATTCGCATAATTTTAATCCTTACTCATTGACAAATATATTTTTGAATTGATTAATCTCTAATAATATAATTGATAAAAAGAAATATTGTATTGCAATAATACTCAATAGGATAATATTTATGTAATAATGATTTTCTACAAAATTATAAAATATATGAATATTAATTATATATATATATATATATGAGTTGTATTTCAATGATAATATTTAAAACTTTAATAGATGATGAAGAATGACATCAAGTAAGAAATCATTATTCAAAACAATATATCCTGAACGTATAATTCAGTTCGTAAAAATTGTTTTTCAATTTTCAGGAGAAAAAAGAAAGACGTGTCCCGTTATAGATTAATGAATAATCATTCTTCTTCTTTTTTTTTTTTTCCTTCTTTTTTCAGAATTCCCAATGAACTAAATAATTTTTCTATGTCGCATAATAATTCTTTTTATTTAGAAATAATTCAATGATAGGTGTCATTGCAGAAAGAAATTTTAGGATTTCGTTTAAAAAACGATCGATGATATAAAAAATTAAAAAAATATCTGATATTGATATATAATTCTTTAAACAATTCAAAATTTTCTTTAAAAATTATATTTTTTTTTTAAAGAAATCTTCTTTAAAATGATATATATATATATATATATATATATATATATATATATATATAACTATTGTCAGGAATATATTTCTCCATAAGATGTTAAAATAAAGTTTGTCCTATTTTAAATGATTCAACCTGCACATTTGTTCGCCCGAACAAACGAACGATCGTTCGGACAGATAATTAACATCGAACGATCATTTGTTATCACATTTACTACCGTTCAAACGATAAGAATAATACGTTCACCTGTTAAATATTAACACGAATTTTATTTTATTATCCTGAAGTTCGGGATACGTCTGTCACGTTCGAGTGACAAAAGTAAACTGCGGAAGAATGGGACGGCAAAAAGGGGTAGATTCGCAAATCGCATGCGCTTGCGAGAGAAGGGATAGAGTACTTTATAATGCAAAGTTGGGGTAAGAAATTGTGGTAATTGTTCGTGAAATGACACAGGTGTTTAATTGTATAATATTAGCCGGCAATGAGAGAATGCTATAGAATATTGTGAAAGTTTTATTATAGACTGTAAGATAATTTCTGAAGGTGTCAATCAAATTGAATTATTAAGAGATTACTAGATAGGGGATGATTAGAATAGTTAATGATGTTAGGCGAATGTACGGGAGCTAAAGGCAGTTGATGTTAGGAAGTCAGATTAGACGAAAGTATGATTTTCAAAAAGGAAGACATTGTCGACAACAAGTATTACGTTTACAATCGTCTATTATTTAGACTCCTTGGATTATGGGAATATCAGACATCGTATACAAAATTGATTTATGTTTGTTATATTAATATTAGTATTATTATTGCACTATCTGAAGAGGTAAGTATCATAGACTTGATTAAAACTCAATTATGATATATTTATTGAATAATTAAAAATGTTTTCTATTTTATTTTTTATTAAATATATATAATATAGAAGATTTTATACCTTCAGATTTATGTATTATTCACGTTAGAAAGAAAAATAGCATCATACGCTAAATTATTGGAAATTCTTTTGCCTTCTTTATGCCATGGATCTTGTTATTATAATCTGCTAAGGAATGGTGTAATTGTTTGTAGCTCATTGAATATATTTTGCCATTTGTAATTATTAAATTTGTACAAATAAATGGAAGTTTCAGATGAAGAAAATTTGTTATCGTATCAAATGTGACTGGAACGACATAACGAATCAAACGGAATTGAAGATACTGAAAAACAATGCTCACTTAAGCAAAAAGATGACGATTGTAATAGCAAGTCAGGAAAATAACTCAAACTCGTTGTAAATTATTGTCCTATCAATATCAATTACGCTTGTTTTTATCTTTTAGTCTGCTACTATCTGTATATCGCATTTATGATGTTTCCGTCTTGCTTAAGTAACATTCAATACTTTCTCGGGGCAATAAATAAAACAGAATTGATGTTACCAGTGCGTTATGAATTTTATATGAAAAATCAAATGCACTATTATTTTCAACTTTTTCTTCAATACCAAAATATAATCATCTTTTGCACAATAGGAATTGCATATTATTCTATGTTCGTAGCAGTTATACAGCATGCATGTGCACTGTTTAACATCGTCGAGTAAGTAATCAATGTGTACGATATTTAATATGACGTAACAGTGAATCTGTCGATACAAAAGATGCAACTTGTATTTTTATTGTTTTATTATAGATTCAGAATAAATGAAAGATTTAAAAGAGATCTAAATTATTTCTGTTATGCCAATAGTAACGCCGAATTGGCCAAGGAAAAGGAATGGCTGGTCGATATTATAATTTTTTATAATAACGCAAATCAGTTTGTATCCTATTTTACATTTTTATGTACACAATGTTTTAATTCTTTATACAATATTTCGATTGAAAAGTATTAATTTTACGATGTTTCCTTTTTGATTTGTTTCAAGGTTTGTCAATTTGATTAAACTGTTTTACGAGAAGACGAATCTGTTAGAAATGTTTTTGATATCGATTTTTATCATGTTAGATTATTTTCATGTAAGATATTTCTTTTTCTTCTTTTTCAAAATAAAAATGATTTTTAACTTTCAAATATATATTCTCAACTTTGATGAATAATTGAATAAGAATGAGAAATTGTTTTTTTTTTTAGATATTTGAAATACTTTCTTTTAAGCTAAATAAAACTGAAAGATTAAGAAATATTTGCTATATTGTCGTATGTATGATTATAACATATACTTATTTTTTTTTCGGACAAAAATTGATAGGCTACAACAAGAAAGTATTTGTAACACTGTAAGTATTTTTATTTGATTGGTATGAACTGTTCTAGCAGTCCCAAATTTTATACAGTTTTTATTGTATGTTGAATATCTCTCATAATAATTACTTATTACTTCATTAATTCGAATGATACAAATATGTTTATAATATTTCTTCCGACAAATACTCAGTGCGGCCGATAAATTCTAATGACAGTATGTTGCATATTCAACGAAGTATCAAATGTGATTCTTTCCATTTGGAGAAAAAAGTATGACGACTTTCTTTATATTTCACCAATCCGCACGAGTTTATATATCAATTCAATATAATTTTTCATATTTTATCCTATACTGACCCATTAATATGTGTTCTATGTAAGATCAATTATTTTCTTTTCAGCTGTCAAGTTCCGTTTTATTTGTTATCATTGAAAACGCAGAAAATGTTACTTTTTTTGATAATGAAGAGCATGAGAGTATGCAATTTATCCGTGCAGGGTGTAAATGATATATCTTACGATATGTTTGCCTCGGTAATTTACTTTGAACACGTAGACATATGTAGTCTATGATTGGCACACGACATTTTATACTAATCGAAATATTTTTTAATAGTTAATGCGTTCGGCATTTTCTTTTGCTATGGTATTCTATAAAATGATATGAATTTGATTGTCGAGATTTGCGATGGTAAAAGATTATGTATTCTTCTGAAAATATAGTATTTTTGGTTTTTAGATCAAGAACATTAAATATATCCGAAAAGTATTTTTTTGAATAGTTATATTCACATTTCTTCATGTATGCGTGAGTATGTGTAGTATTTAATACTTGAAATCTAACAAATTTTAATCTCTTCATAATGATAAAATAAATTCTCGAATTGATTATTTCAGGATAATTTATGGAAAGGAGTTTTGTTTAAATGAAACTTGAAAAATTAATAATTCTATATTATATATATATATATATATATATATATATATATATATATATATATATATGTGTATATATATATATATATATATGCATGTAGATATGTAATAATTTATGTATATATGTATGTGTGTAATTATAAAAATACATTTGTGAATGTATAGGCAATTAGGGACTACTTTTTTTCATCATCCGATATCTTTATTTTAATTTTTTGAATTTTTTTTTTGTGATAAAAAAGTATAATCTTTAACAGCTGCATGAATCACTAAATATTATTTCATAATAAATTTACGAATTAATTACTTTTTTTCGTTATCTTTTTTTTTATGGAAGATCTAGACGAAAACATAATTGAAGAATTACATAAAAAATAAAAAATATTTTATGGATGGTCTTGAAATCTTGCGAAGAATATAATCTTTAGAAAGACAACTCTACAATGTCCGACATACACCTTGAAATAGTTTAACAATTGTCCTTAACAGTTCTTTCATAAAATCAAAAATAACTTTGTCCTGTTTTTAGTGACTCACCGTGAATATTATTTTGGCCGAGCAAAACGTACGATCGTTACGATAGGTATTTAACATCGAACGATCACTTGTTATCACACTTATTACTGTAGAAATGATAATAATATAACGCTGACGTGTTAAATGCTAACATATATTCTTTTTTGCTAAAGTTCAGAATACGTCGGTTGCGTTCGACTGAGAAAGTTAAACTGCGAGAGAATAGGACGGCAAGAAGGGGTAGATTCGCAAGGCGCATGCGCTTGCGAGAGAAGGGATGAAGTATTTTATAATGCAAAGTTGGGGTAAGAAAATGAAGTAATTGTCGAGAAATGACACAAGTGTTTAATTGCATTATACTGGCCGACAATGTGAGAATAGTATAGAACATTATAAAAATGTTACGGATAGTATTGATTGCAAGACAATATCTGAATGTGTTTGTCAAATTGAATTATTAAGAGATTACTAGAAAGGGGATGATTAGAATATTTAATGATGTTAGGCGAATGTACGGGGGTTGAAGCCAGTCGGCGTTAGAAAGTCAGAATAGACGGAAGTATGATTTTCAAAGAGGAAGACCTTGTCAACAATGAGTATTACGTTTACAATCGTCTGTTATTTAGACTCCTTGGATTATGGGAATATCAGACATCGTATACAAAATTGATTTATGTTTGTTATATCAATATTGGTCTAATTATTGGATTATCTGAAGAGGTACGTATTATGGACTTGATTAAAACTTAATTATGCTATATTTATTGAATAATTAAAAATGTTTTCTAATTTTTTTTTTATTAAATATAAATAATATAGATGATTTTATACCTTCAGATTTATATATTATTCACGTTAGAGAGAAAAATAGCATCATACGCTAAATTATTGGAAATTATTTTGCCTTCTTTATGCCATGGATCTTGTTATTATAATCTGCTAAGGAATGGTGTAATTGTTTGTAGCTCATTGAATATATTTTGCCATTTGTAATTATTAAATATGTACAAATAAATGGAAGTTTCAGATGAAGAAAATTTGTTATCGTATCAAATGTGATTGGAACAACATAAAAAATAAATCGGAATTGGAGATATTGAAAAAATATGCCGACTTAAGCAAAATGTTGACGATTGTAATAGCAAGTCAGGAAAATAACTCAAACTCGTTGTAAATTATTGTCCTATCAACATCAATTACGCTTGTTTTTATCTTTTAGTCTGCTACTATGTGTATATCGCATTTTTGATGTTTCCGTCTTGCTTAAGTAACATTCAATACTTCTTTGGCGCAATAAATCAAACAGAACTGATGTTACCAATGCGTTATGAATTTTATATGAAAAGTCAAATGCACTATTATTTTCAACTTTCTTTTCAATACCAAAATATAATCATCATTTGCACAATAGGAATTGCATACTATTCTATGTTCGTAGCAGTTATACAGCATGCATGTGCACTGTTTAACATCGTCGTGTAAGTAATCGATGTGTACGATATTTAATATGACGTAACAGTGAATCTGTCGATACGAAGGATGCAGCTTGTATTTTTATTGTTTTATTATAGATTCAGAATAAATGAAAGATTTAAAAGAGATCCACATTATTTCTGTTATGCCAATAGTAACGTCGAATTGGCCAAGGAGAAGGAATGGCTGGTCGATATTATAATTTTTTATAATAACGCAAATCAGTTTGTATTCTATTTTACATTTCTATGTACACAATGTTTTAATTCTTTATACAATACTTCGATTGAAAAGTATTAATTTTACGATGTTTTCTTTTTGATTTGTTTCAAGATTTGTCAATTTGATTAAACTGTTTTACGAGAAGACGAATCTGTTTGAGATGTTTTTGATATCGATTTTTATCATGTTAGATTATTTTCATGTAAGATATTTCTTTTTCTTCTTTTTCAAAATAAAAATGATTTTTAACTTTCAAATATATATTCTCAGCTTTGATAAATAATTGAATAAGAATGAGAAATTGTTTTTTTTTTAGATATTTGAAATACTTTCTTTTAAGCTAAATAAAACTGAAAGATTAAGAAATATTTGCTATATTGTCGTATCTGTGATTATAATATATACTTATTTTTTTTTCGGACAAAAATTGATAGGCTACAACAAGAAAGTATTTGTAACACTGTAAGTATTTTTATTTGATTGGTATGAACTGTTCTAGCAGTCCCAAATTTTATACGGTTTTTATTGTATGTTGAATATCTCTCATAATAATTACTTATTACTTCATTAATTCAAATGATACTAATATGTTTATAATATTTCTTCCGACAAATACTCAGTGCGGCCGATAAATTCTAATGACAGTATGTTTCATATTCAACGAAATATCAAATGTGATTCTTTTCATTTGTCGAAAAAAGTATGACGACTTTCTTTATATTTCACCAATCCGCACGAGTTTATATATCAATTCAATATAATTTTTCATATTTTATCCTATACTGACCCATTAATATGTGTTCTATGTAAGATCAATTATTTTCTTTTCAGCTGTCAAGTTCCGTTTTACTTGTTATCATTGAAAACGCAGAAAATGTTACTTTTTTTGATAATGAAGAGCATGAGGGCATGCAATTTATCCCTGCAGGGTGTAAATGATATATCTTACGATATGTTTGCCTCGGTAATTTACTTTGAACACGTAGATATATGTAGTCTATGATTGGCACACGACATTTTATACTAATCGAAATATTTTTCAATAGTTAATGCGCTCGGCATTTTCTTTTGCTATGGTATTCTATAAAATGATATGAATTTGATTGTCGAGATCTACGATGGTAAAAGATTATATATTCTTCTGAAAATATAGTATTTTTGGTTTTTAGGTCAAGAACATTAAATATATCCGAAAAGTATTTTTTTGAATAGTTATATTCACATTTCTACATGTATGCGCGAGTATGTTTAGTAGTTAATACTTGAAATCTAACAAATTTTAATCTTTTCATAATGATAAAATAAATTCTCAAATTGATTATTTCAGGATAATTTATGAAAAGGAGTTTTGTTTAAATGAAACTTGAAAAATTAATAATTCTATATTATATATATATATATATATATATATATATATATATGTGTGTATATATATATATATGCATGTAGATATGTAATAATTTATGTATATATGTATGTGTGTAATTATAAAAATACATTTGTGAATGTATAGGCAATTAGGGACTACTTTTTTTCATCATCCGATATCTTTATTTTAATTTTTTGAATTTTTTTTTTGTGATAATCTTTAACAGCTGCATGAATCACTAAATATTATTTCATAATAAATTTACGAATTAATTACTTTTCTTCATTATCTTTTCTTTTTTTTTTTTATGGAAGATCTAGAAGGGAATATAATCCGAAAACATAGTTGGAGAATTACATAAAAAATAAAAAATATATTATGGATGGTCTTGAAATCTTGCGAAAAATATAATCTTTATAAAAACAACTCTACAATGTCCGACATACACCTTGAAATAGTTTAACAATTGTCCTTAACAATTCTTTCATAAAATCAAAAATAACTTTGTCGTTTTTAGTGACTCACCGTGGATATTATTTTGGCCGAGCAAAACGTACGATCGTTACGATAGGTATTTAACATCGAACGATCACTTGTTATCACACTTATTACCGTGGAAATGATAATAATATAACGCTGACGTGTTTAATGCTAACACATATTCTTTTTTGCTAAAGTTCAGGATACGTCTGTTGCGTTCGACTGAGAAAGTTAAACTGCGAGGAAATAGGACGGCAAGAAGGGGTAGATTCGCAAGGCGCATGCGCTTGCGAGAGAAGGGATGAAGTATTTTATAATGCAAAGTTGGGGTAAGAAAATGAAGTAATTGTCGAGAAATGACACAGCTGTTTAGTTGTATAATACTGGCCGACAATGTGAGAATAGTATAGAACATTATAAAAATGTTACGGATAGTATTGATTGCAAGACAATTTCTGAATGTGTTTGTCAAATTGAATTATTAAGAGATTACTAGATAGGGGATGATTAGAATATTTAATGATGTTAGACGAATGTACGGGGGCTGAAGTCAGTTGGCGTTAGAAAGTCAGAATAGACGGAAGTATGATTTTCAAAGAGGAAGATTTTGTCAACGATGAGTATAACGTTTACAATCGGCTATTATTTAGAATCCTTGGATTATGGGAATATCAGACATCGTATACAAAATTGATCTATATTTGTTATATCAATATTGGTCTAATTATTATATTATCTGAAGAGGTACGTATTATAGACTTGATTAAAACTCATTTATGCTATATTTATTGAATAATTAAAAATGTTTTCTAATTTTTTTTTTTTATTAAATATAAATAATATAGATGATTTTATACCTTCAGATTTATATATTATTCACGTTAGAAAGAAAAATAGCATCATACGCTAAATTATTGGAAATTATTTTGCCTTCTTTATGCCATGGATCTTGTTATTATAATCTGCTAAGGAATGGTGTAATTGTTTGTAGCTCATTGAATATATTTTTATATTATATGAGTATATTTTTTTTATGCAAATTGTAAACGTAATATTCGAGTGCCATTGTAATTTATAAATTTTGTACACATAAATGGAAGTTTCAGATGAAGAAAATTCTTTATCGTATCAAATGTGACTGGAACAACATAAAAAATCAATCGGAATTGGAGATATTGAAAAAATATGCCGACTTAAGCAAAATGTTGACGATTGTAATAGCAAGTCAGGAAAATAACTCAAACTCGTTGTAAATTATTGTCCTATCAACATCAATTACGCTTGTTTTTATCTTTTAGTCTGCTACTATGTGTATATCGCATTTTTGATGTTTCCGTCTTGCTTAAGTAACATTCAATACTTTTTTGGCGCAATAAATCAAACAGAACTGATGTTACCAATGCGTTATGAATTTTGTATGAAAAGTCAAATGCACTATTATTTTCAACTTTCTTTTCAATACCAAAATATAATCATCATTTGCACAGTAGGAGTTGCATACTATTCTATGTTCGTAGCAGTTATACAGCATGCATGTGCACTGTTTAACATCGTCGTGTAAGTAATCAATGTGTACGATATTTAATATGACGTAACAGTGAATCTGTCGATACGAAGGATGCAGCTTGTATTTTTATTGTTTTATTATAGATTCAGAATAAATGAAAGATTTAAAACAGATCCACATTATTTCTGTTATGCCAATAGTAACGCCGAATTGGCCAAGGAGAAGGAATGGCTGGTCGATATTATAATTTTTTATAATAACGCAAATCAGTTTGTATCCTATTTTACATTTTTATGTACACAATGTTTTAATTCTTTATACAATATTTCGATTGAAAAGTATTAATTTTACGATGTTTTCTTTTTGATTTGTTTCAAGGTTTGTCAATTTGATTAAACTGTTTTACGAGAAGATGAATCTGTTCGAGGCATTACTGGTGTCGATTTTTATCATGTTGGATTATTTTCATGTAAGATATTTCTTTTTCCCCTTTTTCAAATTAAAAATGATTTTTAACTTTCAAATATATATTCTCAGCTTTGATAAATAATTGAATAAGAATGAGAAATTGTTTTGTTTTTTAGATATTTCAAATATTTTCTTTTAAGCTAAATAAAACTGAAGGATTAAGAAATATTTGTTATATTGTCGCATCTCTGATCATAATATATACTTATTTTTTTTTCGGGCAAAAATTGATAGACCACAACAACAACGTATTTGTAACACTGTAAGTATTTTTATTTGATTGGTATGAACTGTTCTAGCAGTCCCAAATTTTATCCGGTTTTCATCGTATGTTGAATATCTCTCATAACAATTACTTATTACTTCATTAATTCGAATGATACAAATATGTTTATAATATTTCTTCCGACAAATACTCAGTGCGGCCGATAAACTCTAATGACAGTATGTTTCATATTCAACGAAATATCAAATGTGATTCTTTTCATTTGTCGAAAAAAGTATGACGACTTTCTTTATATTTCACCAATCCGCACGAGTTTATATATCAATTCAATATAATTTTTCATATTTTATCCTATACTGACCCATTAATATGTGTTCTATGTAAGATCAATTATTTTCTTTTCAGCTGTCAAGTTCCGTTTTACTTGTTATCATTGAAAACGCAGAAAATGTTACTTTTTTTGATAATGAAGAGCATGAGGGCATGCAATTTATCCCTGCAGGGTGTAAATGATATATCTTACGATATGTTTGCCTCGGTAATTTACTTTGAACACGTAGATATATGTAGTCTATGATTGGCACACGACATTTTATACTAATCGAAATATTTTTTAATAGTTAATGCGCTCGGCATTTTCTTTTGCTATGGTATTCTATAAAATGATATGAATTTGATTGTCGAGATCTACGATGGTAAAAGATTATATATTCTTCTGAAAATATAGTATTTTTGGTTTTTAGGTCAAGAACATTAAATATATCCGAAAAGTATTTTTTTGAATAGTTATATTCACATTTCTACATGTATGCGCGAGTATGTTTAGTAGTTAATACTTGAAATCTGACAAATTTTAATCTTTTCATAATGATAAAATAAATTCTCAAATTGATTATTTCAGGATAATTTATGGAAAGGAGTTTTGTTTAAATGAAACTTGAAAAATTAATAATTCTATATATATATATATATATATATATATATATATATATATGTGTGTGTATATATATATATATGCATGTAGATATGTAATAATTTATGTATATATGTATGTGTGTAATTATAAAAATACATTTGTGAATGTATAGGCAATTAGGGACTACTTTTTTTCATCATCCGATATCTTTATTTTAATTTTTTGAATTTTTTTTTTGTGATAAAAAAGTATAATCTTTAACAGCTGCATGAATCACTAAATATTATTTCATAATAAATTTACGAATTAATTACTTTTTTTCGTTATCTTTTTTTTTATGGAAGATCTAGACGAAAACATAATTGAAGAATTACATAAAAAATAAAAAATATTTTATGGATGGTCTTGAAATCTTGCGAAAATATAATCTTTATAAAAACAATTCTGCAATGTCCGACATACACCTTGAAATAGTTTAACAATTGTCCTTAACAATTCTTTCATAAAATCAAAAATAACTTTGTCCTGTTTTTAGTGACTCACCGTGAATATTATTTTGGCCGAGCAAAACGTACGATCGTTACGATAGGTATTTAACATCGAACGATCACTTGTTATCACACTTATTACCGTGGAAATGATAATAATATAACGCTGATGTGTTAAATGCTAACACATATTCTTTTTTACTTAAGTTCAGGATACGTCTGTTGCGTTCGACTGAGAAAGTTAAACTGCGAGAGAATAGGACGTCAAGAAGGGGTAGATTCGCAAGGCGCATGCGCTTGCGAGAGAAGGGATGAAGTATTTTATAATGCAAAGTTGGGGTAAGAAAATGAAGTAATTGTCGAGAAATGACACAGCTGTTTAGTTGCATAATACTGGCCGACAATGTGAGAATAGTATAGAACATTATAAAAATGTTACGGATAGTATTGATTGCAAGACAATATCTGAATGTGTTTGTCAAATTGAATTATTAAGAGATTACTAGATAGGGGATGATTAGAATATTTAATGATGTTAGGCGAATGTACGGGGGTTGAAGCCAGTCGGCGTTAGAAAGTCAGAATAGACGGAAGTATGATTTTCAAAGAGGAAGACTTTGTCAACAGTGAGTATTACGTTTACAATCGTCTGTTATTTAGACTCCTTGGATTATGGGAATATCAAACATCGTTTAAGAAGTTGATTTATGTTTCTTTCATTAATATTATTTTAATTATTGGATTATCTGAAGAGGTAAGTCTCGTAGGCTTGATTAATACACAATTATGCTGTATTTAACATTTGAATAATTAAAAAAATTTCTTCTATTTTCTTTTTATTAAATATGAATAAAATGGAAGTATTTGTGTCTTCAGATTTATGTACTAATCTCGTCAGAACGAAAAATAGGATCAAATGCTAAATTATTGGAAAAAATTGTGTTTACTTTATGCTATGGATCTTGTTATTACAATTTGCTAAAGAATGGTAGAATTGTCTGTAGCTCATTGGGAAAAATTATATATTTTCTTTTTCGCAAATTATGATTGATAAATTTGTGTGCTCTTGTAAGTAACAAATTTGTAGAGGTAAATGCAAATTTCAGATGAAGAAAATTTTTTATCGTATCAAATGTGACTGGGACAATATAACGAATCAACAAGAATTGGAGATGTTGAAAAAATTTGCCCGTTTAAGCAAAAAATTGACAGTTGTAATTTCAAGTGAGGAAAATAATTCAAACTTATTATAAATGATTGCCCTATAAAAATCTATTACGCTTGTTTTTATCTTTCAGTCTGTTTCTATCTGTATATTGGCTTATTGATGTTCCCATCTTGTTTAAGTAACATTCAATACTTTTTCGGCGCAATAAATAAAACAGAATTGATGTTACCAATGCCTTTTGAATTTTATATGAAAAGTCAAAAGCACTATTATTTTCAACTTTCTTTTCAATACCTATCTACAATTGTCTTTTGCACAGTAGGAGTTGCATACTATTCTATGTTCGTAGCAGTTATACAGCATGCATGTGCACTGTTTATCATCGTCGAGTAAGTAATCAATATGAACGATATTTAATATGACGTAACAGTGAATCTGTCGATACGAAGGATGCAGCTTGTATTTTTATTGTTTTATTATAGATTCAGAATAAAGGAAAGATTTAAAAGAGATCCAAATTATTTCTGTTATGGCAATAGTGACGCCGAATTGGCCAAGGAAAAGGAATGGCTGGTCGATATTATAATTTTTTATAATAACGCAAATCAGTTTGTATCCTATTTTACATTTCTATGTACACAATGTTTTAATTCTTTATACAATATTTCGATTGAAAAGTTTTAATTTTACGATATTTCCTTTTTGATTTGTTTCAAGATTTGTCAATTTGATTAAACTATTTTACGAGAAGATAAATCTGTTCGAGGCATTATTGGTGTCGATTTTTATCATGTTAGATTACTTTTATGTAAGATATTTCTTCTTCCGCTTTATTTAAAAATACAAATAATTTTTAACATACAAATATGTGTATAGTTTTGATAAATAGTTGATTAATAATGAAAAATATGTTTAATAAGTTATTTCAGGTATTTTCTTTAAAGTTAAATACAATTGAAGAATTGACAAATATTTGTTACGTTGTTTCATCTCTATTTGTGATATATACTTATTTTTTTCTCGGACAAAAATTGATAGACCACAACAACTACGTATTTGTAACACTGTAAGTATTTTTATTTGATTGGTATGAATTGCTCTAGCAATCCGTAATTTTGTCCGATTTTCATTGCGTGTTGAATATCTCTCATAATAATTACTTATTACTTCATTAATTCGAATAATACAAGTATCTTTATAATATTTCTTCCAACAAATACTCAGTGCGGGCGATAAAACCTAATGACAGTATGTTGCATATTCAACGAAATAGCAAATGTGATTCTTTTCATTTGGCGAAAAAAGTATGATGACTTTCTTCATATTTCACCAATCCGCACGACTTTATATACTAATTCAATATAATTTTTCATATTTTATCATATCCTGACCCATGAATATGTGTTCTATGTAAGATCAATTATTTTCTTTTCAGCTGTCAAGTTCCGTTTTATTTGTTATCATTGAAAACGCAGAAAATGTTACTTTTTTTGATAATGAAGAGCATGAGGGTATGCAATTTATCCGTGCAGGGTGTAAATGATATATCTTACGATATGTTTGCCTCGGTAATTTACTTTGAACACGTAGATATATGTAGTCTATGATTGGCACACGACATTTTATACTAATCGAAATATTTTTTAATAGTTAATGCGCTCGGCATTTTCTTTTGCTATGGTATTCTATAAAATGATATGAATTTGATTGTCGAGATCTGCGATGGTAAAAGATTATGTATTCTTCTGAAAATATAGTATTTTTGGTTTTTAGGTCAAAAACACTAAATCTATCCAAAAAGTATTTTTTTGAATAGTTATATTCACATTTCTACATGTATGCGCGAGTATGTGTAGTATTTAATATTTGAAATCTAACAAATTTTAATCTCTTCATAATGATAATATAAATTCTCTAATTGATTATTTCAAGATAATTTATGGAAAAGAGTTTTGTTTAAATGAAACTTGAAAAATTAATAATTCTATATTATATATATATATATATATATATATATATGTATATATATATATATATATATATATATATATATATATGTATATATATATATATGCATATAGATATGTAATAATTTATGTATATATGCATGTGTGTAATTATAAAAATACATTTGTGAATGTATATGCAATTAGGGACTACTTTTTTCATCATCCGATATCTTTATTTTAATTTTCTGAATTTT